TTATAGTGAACCGGCATTCAATTTTATTGCAATTCTGTTTATGAAAATGCCCCTAATTTGGGGAAGGATGCATTCGTAAATTGTAATAATCCAGACATTTGACAATTCTAATAGGGAAGCTTTTGTTTACCAAATTACTTTCTAAATGCATTACTAAAACGCTGATGGAAAGCACAGAGTGGTCAGCGCTCAGTTGCCTCCAAAGGGTCTGCGGTTTCTCTTGAGATCAACTATAAAGTCCAACGAGTCATCCAAGTGGAGTCATTTGTGAACACTTGCATGCAGCTCATTTACGCGGTTACCCCATGTCCCATTATTGAATTTTGCACTTGTGTTTTAAATTAATTCCATCTGTAGGCGAACAATTTGGGGCTAATTTTAATATAGAGATTTGAAAATAGATCAAATTCATGTATGTGAAGAATCTTTGAAGAATCCGGCACCTTAGCGCTCACTAATATTGCCCCATTAGTATAACTCGCTGCTAATCCAACAACTGATTTCGGTAAATAATGATTACAGGTTTCAGCATATTTTAAGAGCTTCATTTAGCTATGAAGAGTCCTTCAAATCAGCGTCTACCAATAAACGTAGCTTGCGAGTCCTCAAATTTTGTGCGAAGATATTTTGCAAAATTTGATACCAAAAAAAACAACATCTATTTTTCCAGAGCGAATTTCGTGTTAGCGGTTTTTTGCTAGGATTGAAATGCGGGCAGATGCATTTAAAGCCGCTATGATCAATTTTGAACTTTCTGACCATGTTCGCTTAACCTCAATTAGGCATTCCATTTGGCCCTGTATCGCATAACAATGTAGAATATAACGTTCACTGTCGTGAACAAATTATTTATAAAGCCACACTGAGAGGCCCAAAAATTTGGTCTTGATTAGAGAATTATGGGAAAAGACCTTCATAAAGGGAGGTTTTCAATTAACACCTACTAAATAAATATATGTTGGGTATTTCTGTGTGACATTTCAGTAAGTTACTACATTTTGGCTGTTTGACCTGAAAAAATGTCACACAACAAAGGTTTGCCTAAAGCGAATTGCATTGCTTGTCATTTCATCAAAATTTAACTTACATACAAAATGTTGTTTTAAATGTGATACCAGCCTCAATTTGCGTTTTTTCATCATGTTAATTCCCTAGAAATGATTTGTATGCGGGTGAAAAGTCTTAATGACAAAACGTTTTCAAGAAGTTGAATGGTCTACTTAATGTTCCCACAAAGCGATACACGGAAAACGTCCTAATTGTAATTGACGTTAGCTGATACTGCCATTTTTAGAGAAATTTACAAAAAATAATGACACATTACTCGCTGTGTAAACTGTCAAAAGACATAAAGAGTTGAAGACATAGATGATCAAGTCAGAAGTGCTACTATATATCTTTGACTCGTTAATTTGTTCTTACGAAACAGACAAAGATCTTTCAAAAAAAAACTTTAATAAGTGGCACTCGGTCATTGCTTGTACGTACCATACCTGGTGGAATTATTTTCCAGAACCTTAAGTTTTAGGCATTTCTCCTGTCAACAAAAGTTCACTTTCGAAAGCCCTATATTGTCTGTTATAAACGGCAAAACTATCGATATTGTGCGTAACCATGTCAGTGTCCATCGTTTTTGGTTTAGAATATGCCATTTTCTGGTACGTAAAACAAAGAGAAGAAACTACTAAGGTTATCTAGTGATTTGGCGAATAAATAAATTCATTCCTAGTCTTGTACCCTGGCCATTCTTTCCATGTTTGTATTGAGTCTCCCTCACAACTTAGTTTGTATGGTTAATTTGATTATAAAGGGTGGCCCAGATGCCACTGAACCCCACAGCGTACTTTCAGTAGTCGTGTTTTTAATTTCTTTTACCAAGAAGAACGCTATTTAGCACTTGTCGCACTTCTACCTTTAAGAAATGATTTTGCAGCTGGTCACCCACCTACATGCAAGTTTCCAACATCAATTTAATGATGGCCAACGGAATATAAAAAAACTCGGTCAATGGGGCCATTTCATATGCCTGGGGACATTTTTTGTCCATCAAGTAAAAGTAACCAGTAGTTTCGACAACCACAGCTTGCCTTAACACTTTTATTCGATCTGATAACCCAATAGAGGTCTAAAAACAGGTATTTGTCCGTACGTAATGATAGATTATATTGTAATATAGACTTCATCTTGCGCATACATTGGTAAGCGCATGCATGTCAAATTTTAACTTAAACGTCCCACCTTTAGTGCTTTTGAAATCATTTTCATGCTATAGAATAACGTTTTAGTGCAATTAGAACAGGAGATGTGTTAAATAGTTACACTTTCTTTCGCTCTAATACCCCCACGTGGATGACAGCAAACGTTTGCGCAAATTTTGTGGTCCTCACAGCACATTTTTTGCGGCAACAATTTATAAAAGTCTGTTAATTTTGTTGTGGAAAATATATCGCTAACCCTTGGTTAACGCAACAAATAAATCTTCAGACGATTGTTAATGGCCATAGACTAAAATTTTTAAAAGACCATAGTTACTGTTCAGTGCTTGTCAAAAAATACCGAGTGGCCATTTTTCGTCGCAAACGTTACGGGAAATTTCGTCAACGTGGTTTTCCTCATTTCAGCATTTAAATTAAATTCTGCTCATGACAGATGCCAGAAACAGCAGCAGTTCTGGGAGTGCACTAAATTGCTCTAGCACAGACTGAATAAATTATACACCAGAGTGGCTTTTGTGGAGTTTACTCATACCAGACCTAACGGTGAGTCAAGCGCAGCTTTTGATTCCCCTCTGTAAGCGATTCAAACCGCATTTCCATGTCCTCGTTGCTGTGCAGTCGCTAACAGGGTCAGGTAATATGCTCTTACCTAGTGAATTTTTTATGTTTTGATAAAGTTATTTAGCAAAAAAGGAAAGCATATTTAAAATTACAGAAAAATCATTCAAGGCCAAGTCACTGGCTTGGGAGTAATTATTGTTAACACTACTACCGAAATCGAGCTGCCTTGTTTATTATTCAAGAAACTTTACAAAACACGTAATTTCAGCAAAACCATATAAAGAAAAAAATCTGGTTTTCAACTCAACCGAGGAGGTTGGTTGTCTTTTGGGGTCACAGAGTCTATCCAAAGGAAGTGGTCAAAGAGGCCAGAAAATCCGTTAAGGGGACGTTTTCGTGTGGATGTGCTGCACCTCTACTCGACAATGCATTTACATCCATTTATCACATGATAATTCCTCAAACTGATCAACTGTTTGTGGCAATTAGACGAAATTTCCACGCGTGACATTATTCTACCGGAAACCCGACACTAAGTATTTCGCAGAAATAATTCTAATCTGTCAATCCTTTTGGAGGGTGTTAGTTTGCGTTTATTTTAGATTTGGTGCGAAGTCGAATTAATAGTTATTTGGACCCGTGATTCCTGCTCCAAATGGTTATAATTTAATGTCGGGTTTTGTGTATCAATTTTTTCTGTTTTGTATAGATACGAAGTGTTTAAATAAAGCAGCAATTAAAACACTGTGAAGCCTCAACGCACCCAAGTTAACGATCCTATCGACTGATATAAGGGATACGAATCTTCGTTACTTGATTGCCTCGGTTACAGCACGCAATCGCAAACATAAAGAACGTTTTAAAAAAACTAAAATGCTAGTTAACCTAGCAAACACTGACTGGTTGTGTGGGCATAAGGGAACTCCAATTCAGCTCCTAATTTTCTTCCACCATCGCCTATAACTGCAACTGCGCCATCTCAATGTCCCTGATTTAGTCAATGGCGTCTTTATTAAATGTCTGATTGACTTTGACTAGCAATTTTCAGAGCCTTTGTGATATTATCGCGTGCTGATTAAGCAAGCAAATTTTTGTAGGTACATCTATCACGAAAATCTGGGACGGAGATGGCAAATACCGCAATCAGGGCAAATCAGATTGTGTTTAAGGTATTAAGTGGAAATGTATGTAACAGGAACATTGTTAATGATTATTTAATAGCACGGGAAGGTTGGCACCTATATGAATACACCCGCGAGGATGATGAATACCTTGTAGTCAGGTACTTGTCAAGTTGTGAATTTCCATTACGACCAATTCATGAAATGCCTTTGATCACTTTTTAAATTCGTGTTTTGTATCAATTGAATCTAGCACTGACGAACTAAGCATTTCAATGTCATTTCAATGTCATCGATTGATCTCCTTTGCCGAAATTGATTCCGTCAGACAATTTTTAATCCTTTGATGCAACTGCTCGTGGCATTGTGTTCTGTCCTCTGTGGTAAACATTCCACCAGCACACACATTTGTTACTCTCAGTTGATAAATAAAATTCAGTTCCAAGGTCGTTGCGGTTTTCCTTGGTTCACGCGTTAGCGAATACTTTTATGCAGACAATTCAAGGTTAAGAGTGAAATGGGCACAACTATCCTGGAAAGTTATGAGTTAGAGGGATGCTTTGGTCGAAGCAAAAGGAATGTTGGCTCTTAAGGAAATAAATCAGTCTGGATTTGTCTGGTGCTGTGATTTGGCCTCGTCTGTTTTTAATTTCTAATGAAATAGGTTGAATGCAGCTGAGGTTGATTTGCTGGGAATTAATTTGTCTTAATTGTCAATGCCAACGGTGCGAATTCTTTTTTTAACAATTGTCTCTTATTCCCCCTTGATTATTGTGCTTGAATCTAAATTATTCAAACAGGCGCACCGCCTACTCCAAATGGGCTTCGTAACCCAAACTGATTGCCTTTTGAAACTCGAGGTCAAGCAATTTGAACGTGCAACTAACCGTTGTTATTTTAGATTTTCTAATTTTTAATCATACCCCTCAATTAAAACTTTGGCTTTTTTCAATGTAGCTACATATTTTAAACCTAATTTTCGGTGTGGCATGCAGTTATGTAACGACACTTTTTAAATTTGTCAGAGATAATAATTGACCCGTACTGTTGCAATGTCTTTTTAAAATTTATAAAATGGAATCACAAAATTTTAAACTAAAATATGGATTTTGCGATTTCGGCTTTGGTTGGTTACTTCCTTGATGTTGAGTCTGCAGGCGGTCCCAGCCTTGATTTATTTTTTCGCGTGTGCCTTTAGTGCACGGACAATTGCGTCGCGGTGAACAGGGGCACGTACGGAGGCCGCCTCGGCTGCATGCTGGGTGGCAGTGAGATACCCGCGCATCACTGCGAGCTGATGACGAAGCCTGACTTCTCTTGCGACAACCCCACTTGCCAGGCCAAATGGGTCGTGTCCGACTGGTCCAAGGTTCGTCTGAGTGCTCGCATTATTCCGTACCTGCATCTCCAACTTAATAACCCTATCTCTTTCAGTAAACTTTTCATTCGAACATAGAATTAGTGAGTAATAAAAACCACCGAAGACTCCTTAAGGATTGCTGATTTGAGCGACTGATGGTTTAAAGCCCCTTAGTTTGTCATTAATCTGTGGATTTGTGAGGAGAATTTGGGCTTCAATATCACAAATCAACTCATTGGCTTGTTGTCTAATTTTTGTTTTTAAAAGACAGTCCTTGCGATGAGGCAAAGTAGGAATTAATGGCAACAGACATTATGAAGTTCGATTTCCTCTTTGTTTTGCAGTATCATCCAGTAATATTTCGTTTGCATTTGTGCCATATTCCGGGAGCAATGGTAATTATTCTATTCAGCACTAAAAGCAGGTATGGCAAGACAGCAAGTAAGCATCCACGTCTGTCGTAGTTAAAAAGAACATCCGGCAGTTATACTTGGAGCGTATTGTCTCGTTATAGTTCACAACGAAATAGTCGGACCTTAACTATCTTATCGAGATGAACACAGACTTCCCTCGATTATCATTTTATGCCTCCTGTTTAGCTACATTGCTTCGAGATTAGTTGTGTAATGCTGTGTACAAATTACTGCTCTCAAATGAAAAGGAATGTAGTAAGCCAACTACTGAATATGAAAGTACGTCTGTTCAGTTTGAATTTTGTCTGCACTTGCTTTGGTAATTAAAATGAATATAGAGAGCCCTAAAAGTGATACCCGCTTATGGTTTGTTAGCAAATTTAAATGTTTGTGTCTCTAGTGCTCGGTCTCCTGCGGAGGCACAGGCTACCAATATCGGGAGCAAAAATGTGTCTGGACGAATTCCGGTCAACTTGCCGGATCGGCTTGCTACGATGCCAAAATCCAGGCGCCGCCAGCAGTCCGCCCATGTAGCACTAAACCATGCAAAACACGTAAGTTCGCAAACTAGTTGCCTGGTCTTGCACATTTCAGTTAACAAATAAACGACATTATTGTTACCCACAGGCATTATGAAGGAAGCATCATAGTTAGGTTACGTTATCCCTGTTATTTTCTGTTCTATCTGAGCACTACTTAGAATTTGGAAGTCTTTTCAAAACATCTCTAGACTAATAACTAGTTTTGAAGACCCTGTTACTAGAAGGTGCCTTTACGATCAAATCTCGGAAGCATGAGCTGCAGGGAATATAATAATAATCCACTGTAGCACTCAGTTAAATTATTGGATTCCGTTAATAAAATGCAATTCTTGCGGTTTCGATATGTATTTTTTGAACTGACTAATTTTCCGCAACGCATATAAACGTAAATGCCGAAGCTTACAAATGTTTTTACTTGAATAACAAATGATTAGTTTATTGCTACTAATCGTTTTTTTTAAATCGAGCTCATTGCCTGTTTTAGTGTGCGTCGATTTATCCAAACAATGTCCGAAGTTTCGGCATTGGTGTGTTTTCAATGCTTTTAAATACAACTGTTGCAAAACCTGTCGGGACTATGCACTTCAAACGAGCCAATTTGGCCCCTGAAGTCCCGCTCCTCTGATCTCTCCGCCAAGATACACAGCCATAACCATGTCCCCCAACCCCACGCCGTGAGGTTTTATACTTCCCTCTACAAGTTACTCCGTAATAATTGTGTACATTACTTCCTCATCAGCATCACTTTATTTGTTTGACTGTAAAATTTATGCAAAAACATGTTGCACAATCTATTTTTATTTTCTATTCACTATGTTAGTATATAAACATAACGATCCACTGACCAAAAATCGGACATCCTTCTATTGCCACCAATCTTTTGGACTCTATTTCGTTTGTAATTCTGCCTAATTATAATTTCAAGAGCTGTATGCATCTCACTTGCAAATGCACCTAATTTTATTGTTTGGATGTCAATGAAGAGCTGAATTGTTGGAATGGGAACATGTGAACGTGGTTACTGGTTTTTAGACAATATCTTACGGAGTATTTCTGAATTCGCACTGCTGTTGAAGCTTGCACATGAAAAATTGCTCATTTAGTTTGCTTGAGTTGCGTCCCAATCTCCTGACCAGCTTTCATTGCCAATGTAATTCGATAACTAAGTCTTTCTTAGATAAATATTAATGATAGCTAAAATCTCAGACACAAATGTCAGTGCTTTTCGCACATTTTATTGCATCAATTAGTTTAAGACAAAAATCGGTTCAATGCGTGACACTCGGTTGTCGGTATTTGTGCGCTTTGATATAAACAGCATTTGGCTTCCCCACTTGAAAATAATGACAGGCAGAACCGTAAAATCGTGCCTTAATACTAACCGGAGTGTCCTGCATTTCTGCCAAAAGCGCAATTTGTGCAAATGTTTACCACTCAGGATTCCTATTTGGAAAAGTCCATTCGAACCTTTATGAGTAGCTAGACAGTTTTACGATATTCAGGTTTTGGGTTGTTGAAGTGTTTCCATGTTACTATTAGAGGATAATTAAATTCATGCTTTTCTGACAATTAAGGAGTGAATGGGTGCAGTCGAAAGTTCCTCATTTCGATGGCCTCATTTTGGTAATTAGAAAAACTCTACATGCCGGTCTACCGTGTATTTAAACCACGAAGAAGCCGAACTAATAATAAATATGGCACTTTACTTTCAATTGAATAGGTTTCACGGTTTTGTAGCATTATTGAAGGATGCCTTTTATGTGACCAGACGGCGTAGACAAGCACGTAGTCTATGCTGATGTTACCTACCTTGCTAATGTCATCGAAAGTGGCATTCCGGAAGTTTACACCGGAAGCAGCCGGATTGGGGTGGTTATCTTATGTATGGTTTACAAAATAAAATGAATTCCTGCAAGGTAACATGCCCTAAATCGTCTGCGAGCACAATTTAAAACTGCGGAGCTTAGAATATAACTAGTCATTAAAGGTCTTATCTACTTATTAGTTTAATTACATATTCTTCATTTTTTTGCGACAGAAACTGTTTCTAGTTCACCTGATCCCCTAATACTTACCTGCACTCTCAGACATCTTTGTGTGTCTATGCTCGCGAAATTGTTTTACCGTAAAAAGTAGTGCGTTGTTTCAAAACCATCTTCAAAAAAATAACGTCTATGGGACATTTTCAAAATCAGACCTCGCTTAGGGGCACATTAAAGATAGAAATATCATATCATACATTTATTAATGCCGCTCAATTTCGATCAGCCGCTTTATCATACAATGAGCCAACACAGGTCGATAATTTGTGTGCAAATGTCGTCTGTTCCGCACAGCCTTTGATCGCATTTTTTGTGTAGACCAGCGAACATGCACATTTTACCCCACATTCTACTGCCACCCGGCGACGCAGAGACTCAGCTCGTAAACAGACATATTTTATGCTAGAGAAAATAGGCACACATACACAAATGCACCAAATGGGAGTAAAGGTAAGTACCATCAAACATAAAATGATGGCTTATAAAACTGATTTGTTAGTCATTTTGTTTGTCTACTTATTGGATTTAAAGTTAAATTTCGAGTAATTAAACTTTATTAACAAAACTTTCTCTGAGGTGCTTCTTAAAGTCGATAGCTCCAGAGCAATCGCCCCGGAAAGCAGCAAAAGACTAGGGGAGATGTCGAAAACATAATATGTAATTTGAAGCTTGTTTAAGAAATCTTCGGTGCTCCACACAGAATATTTTGATTTACATAAATGAAAATTTACAAATCATGCCAGCAAACGCCTACATTTTTCAGTTTTTTGAGACTCGCGTGGAAAGAAAAATACATTCAGAGCATTACGGTAATATGATCATTTATAAAAGTGGCAATGCTTTGTATTTCTTTTTTGTATATTCCAAGGAGATAAAATTAATAGACACATGTCTTCATTGGTATGTTTGGATGATGACAGTGGATATAAAGCCAAATTGTTTTCGCCAGCAATGATTTTAATTTTTTGGTTAATGGGGGAGTCTAGTGGTTTCTGAAATGGTGTTTCAGAGATGTTTAATTCGTGTAACATGAAAGATGCTATTTTATCGTAATCAGATTATATATAATAAAACAATCATGAATAAAAACGAAGCTGTTTTGGATTGATTGAGGTAACAAAAAGGTAAAGGGCAACACTATCGGTTTCTGGTCCTCCACGTTCTACCCAATTCGCTTTCAAGTAAGCAATACAAATTTTCCAAACTCTGAAATGACGAAGCATATTGTCATATCGCCATTAATTCCTCCATTGCCGTTCTGTCGAAGTTGGTGACTGCATGAGATTATGAATACAGTTAAATTGATTGTTACAAGGTTTGTTTCAAAAAGTTCCGTCAATTCTGACTTAATTTCTTAAATATCCTAAGCAAACCCCTTATTTGAGGTGATCACTTCGAAGTCACCGGCCGTAGGAGCCTCGGTGTGGGTGTCGGACCCCACGTGCTGAGGCCCGCTTCTTGTGCCACGCTGCAGATACCCTGGAAAGTTAAGAAAACTAGAGACCACTGAGGCGCAGCTGCGCCTCTGTGCACCCAACGCCGTGTTCTCTCGTAAGTCACGGACACACACACAATCACGGGAGCGTGTTCATGCCCAGACGTGTCCACATAAACAACAAAGGCGATAAGACGGGGAGGTTGAACAGACACACCGCTTAGTGGAAAGGAATAGATTACCAAAGTGTGCGAACATGCCCATTTAGCTTTTCATCTCAATCGAGATGAAAATAAATTTGGAATAAAAACAAAATTGCATTTTTATTAAAATTAGAAGCTCAGTTAGTGTTTGTGCGAATTATAACTTGCATTTAGAAACGAGTTAAAACATATTTAACACCCTAGTTTAAAAAAATCCTCAACAGCTGTTCAAAACTAGCTGTAGCCAGGTAAAACAGTAATCCTGCTACTGGATTTGTACTTAAAACACATTTTCACTAAGATAAAATTGTTTTCAACTAATAAAGTCGCAGACTGTTTAATTCTAGATCTTCGATTATTCCTCAATACTAATTTTACCCATCATGTGATCAATTTAACACCCACGTTGAAGCTGAACCAAATTTTAACCGCAAATAGAAAAGTCTGTCACAGATAATAATCAGCTTTAGTGTTGCTGCCTTGGTGAAATATTCCAGGTGTCACAATGTGATTTCAGACCTAACGCGGGACCATGTAGCGGGTTATTTACTACTAAAATGGTTCACTGGTAGCCCTATCCAGTGACCGAAAGCTCCAATGCAAAAACCTCTCACTATGCCGACAAAGCATTTCACTCAGAAGTGCTGTCTAACGTGTGGTTTAGCAGTTTTGGCTTGCATGGCTCAAGTTCCGATGAACTGGGTGGATGCTTTGATGAAGAGGCTGTCTGGCTGTGCTTTCAACGGTATGATGAATGAGCCATCAGCATAAAGATTCACTGTTGCCACATTACTTAGGATGCAATTTTATTACGTAATAAGGCACTGTTAGATATTCTAGTAAGACGTCAATACCCAAAACTAAAGAATGCTTTTTTATAATTGCAACCTCAGTGGTTTACCAAACCTAGCCAAAGTCCACCGTGGGATTTGAAATTGTTGGACATGTGTATGAGTCAGCACTCCTTTAATTTTTAAGGGGACATGAAGTGCAGAAATCAGAATTCTTCCATCAAATAAGGATCGAAACCAACAGGAAGAATTAGGCAATCCGAAACATATAAAGCATCCCATGAAGGGGACCCAGTTACTGCTTGTGATGCTGACATCCAGGGTGAATTTTTTCAGTCATTTTAGGTGTGAACGGAGTTGAGATTCTGAAATTTTTGGTGCCTTACACAGTCTGTCAATTTTAATATCCTGAGATTTTAATTAGTTTCATTCGTTACTCTGGAAGTGGTTTACTTCATGTTTTCATGACAATTTAAAAAATATTACAAGGGGACTTTAGAACGTTTTAATTGCACCTGTGTTGGAAATAGTTCGGCACAACAAGCAGACTCCACTTTAAAAAACCAACAAAAAATAGGGAGAAACAGGCCAAGCAATTTTGAATCTGTGAACAGGTATTTGCCGCATATAATTCGAAATGTTGATTTCGTTGCTTCAATACATCGTCCATTATAAAGGTGTTTAATTAAAAAGTCCATTATTGGGTTCTGACAGTCGGTTTAATTCGTTGAAATGAATGTTGTTAGGAGTGATTCAAGGGTTTAATGAAAAATAATCACATCTAGTAATCGGTAAAACACAATTTAAAGGCAAATAAGTAGCGGCAAATCAGTGAACAGTTCAAATGTGTTTTCTCGAAGTATTTCCGCTAATTCAATTTGTAAACGAGAAGTCTGTTTAGCCCTGAGAAGCATCTCTATGATTCGCTGATATTCATGAATTCTGCTAAAATCTAATTTTTCTGACTACTTAGGTATGCAACTTGCTACTGTGCGCAGTAATAACAAGTTCATTAATCTGTTTACCTTATCATCACCTAGGAATCAGAGATGTCACGTCCCTCAAATACTTTCATGCCTTCCAAACGCTTGTTTCTGTTGTGTTGCACCACTAGATATTATAGACGTCGATATCAACTTGCGAAGTCTGTTAAT